AGGAAGAGGAGGAGGAGGAGAAGGAGGAGGAAGAGGAGCAGGCATATTAATAATAATGGTATTCATCATACTATTAATAATACTAATACTAATAAGACTAAGAGGAAGAAAATAAGAATACTAAGAATAATACTAAGAAGAAGACGAAGACAAAAAGAGGATGATGAAGAACAATAACAAGAATAACGCCACAATCGTAGGTTCAGGTTTGCTCAACGCAACATAAAAGAGGAACAGGCGGAGGAGGAGGAACAGGAAGAGGAAGAGGAAGAGAAAGAGGAGGAGGAAGAGGAAGAGGAGGAGGAGGAGGGGAGGGAGGGAGGGCGGGGAGGAGGAGGAGGAGGAGGAGGAGGAGGAGGAGGAGGAGGAGGAGGAGGAGGAGGATGGGGAGGAGGAGGAGGAATAATGGAATAAGAAGAAGAAACACAAGAAGAACGGCCTCGGTGGGCGGAGTCAGCATCCCACTATATCTCTGAGCAGCCGCCGTCGCCCGCTCTCGGCGGGCGCCTTCTTTCAGTTCGCGGCAGCGCGCATGCCGAACTCGCAACCGACCGTGTCGCGCATGCATCGGCATCCATATCTGAATTCAAAGTCCTGCACGCCAGGCGGCCAGTTCATCCTCAATGATTCCCGCAGACGCCCTGCCCTCCTTTACCACTGCGCCAACTTGAAGAAGGGCTCTGCGGGTGGTGTCCGTGGACTGATGCGCGCTTCTTCTGCTCGTCCGTCGGGCCCTCCTCGTTCGCTGCGGCCGTCCAGGCGCCCTGCTCGATGAAGAGAGTGAACTTCGCCTTGTTGGAGTCGCAGCATTTGCTGATTCGGGTGCGTTTGGCTTTGCGTAGCTACGTCGCTGCGTTGATCATGTCCAAGAACTGCCCATGCTCCGCGAGAACTGCTAGAGTCTTCCGCCCACATCCCCGGTGAACAGGGTCGGAATGAGCGCCATGTAGATGGCCCTCCGGTTGCCCTGAAGCGCGTCCTCTCCCCGCCTCCTTGCCCTTGTCCGCGTAGATTGTCCTGCAGGTCTTGCGCGCTTGCATCGGGCCGCCCTGCGAGGTCTCGAGGATTTCGCCCACGTGCAGTTTGACTGAGAGGTCGATCATGTTTGGAGCGACGGGGGGGACAGCGGCGAACGGATCTGAGTCCTGTGTCACATGGCCCAGCCATTGGCCCACTGGCTGCTCGCGTGCAAAATTGAAGGAAGTACGTCCTGCGCTGCATCCAGGCAGAAAGCCAGATCCCAGTATGAAATCTCCGGACTTGTCGAAGCCGTCGACCTTGACAGCGGCGCACAGTTTCTGCTTGTGCCTGCCGAGCATGTAAATATGACTTGCGCAACTTTGTCGATCATAGTGCTGGGGAACGCGTTGGCGGCGTCCTTGCTGGATGCGATGAAGTCGAGATTCGCTCGCTGAAGACCGGGCGCGACGATGCGCGATGCAACCATGGGAACTTCTCTCCTAAGACGTGGCCAGCAGCCGCGAGCATGTGGCGGTGGAGACCATGGCAGCGACTCGCAGTGTAGTTGACGGCGCACGCATCGCCAAGACGGGCACATCATGTGCAAAGTACGTAGTCCTGGAAATCATGGGCTCGGCGTTCATCTCGCCGGGCGCGAAGCTCTGGTTGCGATGAGAAGCCGACCTTGTAGGTATGATCCAAAATACATTCAAAGCGTTCGTCTGTCCACGGCGCCTCGATCAGCTCCTCGTTGCACCTGGGGTCCAGCGTCTGCGGTTTCCTCTTCGCAATGACCGTCGGCTGAAAGATGATCTGGAATATCTCTTCTGGGGGCGACCATTCAAGAACCAATGCCCTCTTTTGGAAATACCTCAGGCGCTTCTTGTTCCCGTAGAAAAGCTTGGCTACGTTGTCCTTCGTGTCGTAATATTGCGCATTGCGCCTGGGGCTGCGGCTTGAGCTCGTCGTCGAAGTCGCTAGCGCTTTCTTGGAGTAGGCGCTTCTCTTCGTCGAGGTCGATAGGTAGGGCTCGAAATTCCCCCTCGAGCGCCAGCCTGGGGCACGTGCTGTGCCCATTCTGCGAGACTGGGTCTGGCACGTGCAGTTCTGGTGTAGCTGCGCTTCATCTTGCCATGATTGGTGCCTGCCACGCACCTGCTGATGCTGCCTTGTTTTGCCATGTTTCGAATACCAATGCCTCGAGATCTGTTCCTTTTCGCTTCCTGGAGTTGCTTCTGGTTCTTGATCGCCCGAGTGAGAATGTCGAGCCTTCCTTCTATGTCCACGCCGAGGTGTGTGCCGATGTACTGCTTGGGTGGTTCTGCACTATGTAATAGTGTTTGCCAGCTTGTCGGCCATGAGCTGGTTGCTGGCGCCTTGCTGCTCCTTTTTCTTGCGCTCGAGGAAGGGCTTGGCAATGGACTTGAGGGTCTCTATCAAGTAGGTCCAGTCCGCGTCCGTCGTGTTCATAGCCTTGAGCTCGCGTGTGGTATCGACGTTCTTCTCCATTGCGTTCTCTAGCGCTGCGGGGCGTACCTGTCTGCAGAGATTTAGCCATTTTGCCATAACCCCAGAAGAGAGGGGGGGTGAGCTTCGGAATCCCCCTCCTCCCTTTGCAAAAGAGGGCGGAGGAGGGTATCTTGAAGCCGCCCCCCCTTGTGTCCAGACCAAAAAGGGAGGGAGGGGGGGGGGAAGCTTCCGAAGCCCCCCCCCCCCTTTGAAAGGGAAGCCCGTGCTCACCTTCTGCTCCGGAAAAAGGAAGGGGGGGGGTAGCTTCGAAGGCCCCCCCCAGGGCCCCCCTAGCTTAGAAACCCTGACAGAAGGGAGGGGGAGGGGGGGTAGATTCTGAAGCCCCCCCCCCTTTTGGAAGGGAGAGGGGGGGGGTAGCTTGAAGCTGGGGCCCTCCTTCCCATATTCCCGGCGCTGCGGGCGCGCTCTTTCACAAGTCCGCACCACATACCCCGCTGCTGTCCCCAGCACCACCGTCCACACCACCACTGTCCTCAGTTTTCCCACCACCGTCCCCGCTGTCCCTCCAGTGCCCCCCCACTGTCGCACTGTCCCTACTGTACTGTCCCCACCACGGTCCCGCTCTCCCCACTTTCCCCACGGTCCCCACCAATGTCCCACAGCCACCACCGCCCCACTGTCCCCGCCGCTGTCCCACTGAGCTGTCCCACTGTTCCCACCACTGTCCTCACCACTGCCCCCACTGTACCCCTGTCCTACTGTCCCACCACCGTCCTCACCACCGCCTTCACCACTGTCCCCACCACCACCGTCCCTACCACTGTCCCGCTGGGCCCACTGTGCCCACCACTGTCCCACTGTCCCCGCACCATTGTCCCCACCACCACCGTCCCCACCACTGTCCCACTGCCCCCACCACTGCCACACTGTCCCACTGTTCCCACCATTGTCCCCGCTGTCACCACCAGTGCCCCCACCAGTCTCTCACTGTCCACACTGTCCCTACCATGGTCCCACCACGGTCCCACTCTCCCCATTGTCCCCACCAGTGCCCCCACCAGTGTCTCACTGTCCCCTCTGCCCCCACCATTGTCCCACCAAAGTCCCACTCTTCCTATTGTCCCCGCTGTCCCCGCCACTGTCCCACTGTCCCCACTGTTCCCACCACTGTCCCACTATCCCCACTGTCCCCTCCGCTGCCCCACTGTGCTGTCCCACTGTCCCCACTGTCCCCGCCACTGCACTGTCCCACTGTCCCCACTGTCCCCACCACTCTCCCCACTGTACCACTGTCCCGCCACCGTCCTCACCACCGCCTTCACCCACGACTACCGTCTGAACCACTGTCCCACTGTCGCAGTCCCCACCACTGTCCCGCTGTCCCCTCACCACTGTCCCCGCCACCACCGTCCCCACCACTCTCCCACTGTCCCCGCCACTGTCCCACTGTCCCCACCACCACCGTCTCCACCACTGTCCCACTGCCCCCACCACTGCCCCACTGTCTCAGGGAGCGAGAATATTTTGCCGGCGGCAAAGGGGGGTTCAAACTGGTAGTGACCCCCCCCTTTTCATGATGAAGGGGGGAGGGAGGGGGGGGTTCGAACCGGTAGTGACACCCCCCGGTTTTCGAGGGGGGGGGGGACGGGTTGGGAACCCCCAGTGACCCCCCCCGGTTTTCCTCCAGCAGCGGTAGAACACGCTCTTTCATAGATAAGGACCGCGGCCTCTAAGAAGCAGGGGTGCCTCCAAGAAGCCCCCCCCCCCTCCCCCCACCCCTCTCTGCGCGTGGCTGAGCTTGGTCGCCGTGGATCTGGACACCTTCCCGCCACCGGGGGCGGGAAGATATCCAGAGCTGCGCTCCTCAGGAGGTCCTCGAGGTCCCGTGGCCCGACTCCGAGGCGACAGACATGGGTAAATTCTGGCGGCGGACTATCGTCGTCCGTCGTCCGTCGTCGGATGGCATCTCGGAGGATCGCGCCGCACCGCCACTGCATCGGCAACACGGCTCGATCTGGAGTCCGTTCTTCTTCATCCCGCCGTCGGCACCGTCGACGCTAGGGCGGCTGAACCATCCCGCTCCTCCAGCCACTCTCACTCCTCTCACTCCTCTCACTCCTCTTACTCCTCCTTCTCCTCCTCCTCCTCCTCCTTCTCCTCCTCCCTGCTCCTCCTCCTGCTCCTCCTCCTTCTCCTCCTCCGCCTCCTGCTCCTGCTCCGCCTCCTCGTCCTCCTCCTCCTCCTCCTCCTCCTCCTCCTCCTCCTCCTCCTCTTCCTCCTCCTCCTCTTCCCCCTCCTCCTCCCCTCCTCCCTCTCCTCCCCTCTCCTCCCCCTTCCCCTCGCCCCCCCCTTCCCCCCCCACTGTGGGCGGCGGACCACCCCTCGGCCCTGAGGCGCTCGGCCGCGGTCGGAAGAGAGAGGATGGAGAAGGAGAGGGGAGGATGGAAGGAGAGGAAGGAGGAAAAGGGAGGAAAAGAGGAGAAGGAGGAGGAATATACTTACTACTTGGAGGCTCTAAACCAATTGCCAGGAGGCTCCGAATCAAAGAAAACAACTCTGGGGCGGTTCGCCTTGGGGTCCTGCAGGGAGGAGATGATCTGGTTGAGGCCGTTCATGAAGCGCATGGCCATGACGGCCCTGGCGGAGAGGGGGCGGGAGCCGCGAGGGACGATACGTGCAAGCTGCCTACAAGACCACCCCTCGGGTGGTACGTTTTTGAGTTGCTGTTGTCTGAGTGTGTGCGTGGTGCGTCGTGCCACTCGGCGGGACGTCTGCTTGCGCGCGGCTGGTGTCCTCCTCCCCGCCAACCACGCCTGCTTGACTATGTCCTCCATGGCGGCTGCTCGATTCGTCCTCGCGTGGGACGTCCCGCGACGGGCAGCGCTTTCCCTTCTCGCCGTCCATGCCTGGATGGCTATGTGTCCCTAAGTTTCTATGCTGGCTAGCGGGGCGATCAAAAACAATCCCGCTTCAGGGATTGGTCGCACGCGCCCGCTCCGCCGCTTTGACTGATTCCGCCTCGTCGCCGCGCGCGAGGCCACTACCGGTGAAATGTGTGTGTGCGTGTGTAAGGTGTGTGTGTGTGTGTGTGCCTGCGTGTCTGTGTGTGTGTGTGTGTGTGTGTGCCTGTTTGCCTGTGAATGTGTGTGTGTGTGTGCGAGCGTGCGTGCGTGCGTGCGTGCGTGCGTGCGTGCGTGCGTGTGTGTGTGTGAATGTGTGTGTGTGTGTGTGCGTGTATGTGTGTGTGTATGTCTGTCCGTGTGTGTGTGTGTGTGTGTGTGTGTGTCTGTCCGTGTGTCTGTCCGTGTGTGTGCGTGTGTGTGCGTGCGTGCGTGCGTGCGTGCGTGCGTGCGTGCGTGTGTGTGTGTGTGTGTGTGTGTGGGTGGTTGGGGGGGCTCCGCTGTCTCCCCACGGTCCTGTCGCCACTTAGGTGCTCGTTCCATCCCACCGTCTGCCTTGGTCCGGCTGTCTGCCTGCTGCCCTCCCCCTCTTTCGGAGTGCCGCTGCCCTTTCGCACTGCGCACTTCCTGCCTCCGCCACTCTCCCCCTCTCCCCCGTTCCCCCGCTCCCCCGCCCCCCTCGCGGCCGAGTGCCCCGGTCGATCCCCATGGGTGGGCCCCTGGTCTCCGCGCCGCGTGATCTGGCCCGGCCGCGCGCGTCCTCCCGCTCGACTGCCTACGCCGCGCCGCCGCGCGCATGGCCGCGACGGGCAAAACGTGTCGGTGTGGCGTGGTGTTGGGGGGGGGGGTAGGTCGCATGTTGCTTGGTTTTCGATGGCCTGCCTGGCTGACGAGCTAAGCATCTAAACCCCGCGGCAGCGGGTAAGACAGAGGGGGCTCCTGGTAGGGGCCCTGCTAGGCCTGCGGGGGTTGGGCGCCAAAGTCAACAAGTCCGCCGCAGGCGCATCTTTTCAAAACAATCAGCCTGCCCAGGAGCCGATCGCGTTGCAAGGCAACGTGGGTGGGTCAGGGGGCGGGGGGTCAGCGGGTCGCGAGGCTTGAAAGCCAGAGTAGAGAAGCCCACCGCCAGCACTGCCATGAAACACAGGATCAACAAACAAAATATCGCCGCATATGGCGACTTTGCTGCTTGCACAACAGTGTGGGTGGGCCGCGGATGTGGGCCGCAGAAAGGTCGCAGGTGGGTTGCGGGTGGGTCGCGGAGTTGGTCACGGGTCCGTCACGGGGCGGGCGACGGCGGCAAGTACAACAACGGCACCCGCACCGCGGAGCCCCACCTCAGTTACGCGCCCATGGACAACGCAAGACAAGTCAGGCCTCGCTCCCATATAAGTATCGACCTCCTCCTCCTCCTCTTCCTCCTCCTCCTCTCGTCCTCCTCGTGCGTCATTTCTCCGCCTCGTCCTCCTCGCCCTCCTCCCCCTCGCTCCCTACGCGTGCCCCAGACATGGCCCCAAGAAACCCTCCAGGGCCACTCCATCGCTCCCAGATCTCCCGGTACACCATTGCTGCCCGCTCTGTTTCGCTAAGTCCTCCCCCTCTTTCTCGCCAGCAACTTGCCGGGGAATCGTTTCTACATGGGCTGGCGGGGTCACACGAAGCGGCGATGAGTTTCTGCCCTTCCGGCGGACGACGGCCTCGGCGTCTTGAAGAGGCTCTGCAGACTCGGCGCCGCGTCGAAGACTGCCGCGTAGATGGCTTCCCCGGCAGCCTCGCGTGACTCGGCGCCTTGGAATAGCAGAAAAGGGATGGGAGGGGGATGGGGAGGGATCACTGACCGTTGCCAGGTCTGCGATCGGACCGCCATTGAACAGTTCCACGGGTGAGTCACGGCTGAGCAAAGGCATTGGCGAGCTTGCGCGTGAGAGGGATGTGAGGGGGAGGGATGATAATACTGATGATGATGCTGTTGATGGTGATGGTGGTGGTGATGATGAATACGAGAATGATGATGACAATGGCGATGGCGATGGCGATGGCGATGGCGATGGCGATGGCGATGGCGATGGCGATGATGATGATGATGATGATGATGATGATGATGATGATGATGATGATGATGATGGTGATGGTGATGGTGATGACGATGATGATTATCTGATGATGATGATGATGATGATGATGATGATGATGATGATGATGATGATGATGATGATGATGATGATTACGGCGATGATGATGACAATGATGAGTAATATGTTCATTTGCCCCCGTGTGATTTCCCTGGCCAACACAAGGTCAAGGCAACGACGATGCTTCGAACCTGGAACTCGGGTCTGTGGGCGCTTGCCCGCCTCGGCCAATACAACGTACTGCGTCGTAGCTCGTCGCGTGAGCGAGGCCGTGGGGCTGGCAGTTGGGCTGGCCGTGGGGCTGGCCGCGGGGCTGGCCGCGGGGCTGGCAGTCGGGCTGGCCGTGGGGCTGGCCGTCGGGCTGGCCGTCCGGCTGGCAGTCGGGCTGGCCGGGGCACTGGCCGTGGGGCTGGCAGTCGAGCTGGCCCTGGCAGTCGGGCTGGCCGTCGGACTGGCCGTGGGGCTGGCAATCGGGTTGGCCATGGGGCTGGCCGTCGGGCTGGCCGTCCGGCTGGCAGTCGGGCTGGCCGTGGGGCTGGCCGCGGGGCTGGCTGGCCCCGGGGCTGGCCGTCGGGCTGGCCGTGGGGCTGGCCGGGCTGGCCATGGGGCTGGCAGCCAGGCAGACCGTGAGGCTGGCAGTCGGGCAGCCCAGGGGGCAGGCCGCCAGGCAAGCCGAGGGGCTGGCATGGCAGTCGGGCTGGCCGGGAGGCTGGCCGGGGGGCAGGCCGTCGGGCAGGACTCGTGCCGCCGCGGCGGCGCCGGCCACCGCGCCAACCGCCGCCGGGCGCCAGCGCGGCCGCACCGGCCGAGGCGCCGCCCGACGCAGCCGCCGCCGACGCGGAGCTACCCGCGGCCGCCGCAGGGGGGGCGGCTGCGGCAGCAGGGGGCGCGGCCGCGCGCGCGGCCAGCAGGGCCGCCCGGGCCGCAGCGGCGACGGCCAGCCAGAGGCCGGCGGCAGCCGCGGCCTCCGCAGCGTCCAGGGCCGCGCCGCAGGCGGCAGCGGCAGCGCCCAGGGCCGCGCCGCCCGAGACGCGGCGGCGACGGCGGCGGCTGGGCCAGTGGGCCGGAGGCGGCCCGCCCGGGGGGCAGGCGGCGCGAGAGAACGCCGGCCAGGCCAGCGCCAGCGGCCGCAGGGCCAGCGGCCCACCCAGCGGGCGGCCGGCCAGGGGGCGGCGCCGGAGCGGCGCGGGCGGCGGCGGCGCGGCGCAGCCGTCGCCGCCGTGCAGAGGGCGGCTCCATCCGGCCGGCCCCGGAGGCAGCGGACCCAGGTCGCGCCGACCAACCTCGAGCCGACACGGCTTGAGCCAAGGGGGGTACGGAGCTTGAGCCAGAGGGGGTTAGGCTAGGGTGGGAATGCGCAAAAGCGTGAGACATTGAGCCTGGGAAATCATCACAACTTCCGTCACTTAAGCTTGAACGCCTCGACAGTTACAAGGATGGAGGGTGAATCGTTTTCAAAATAAAAGCTCTCGCGTTGGCGCAGTTTCAAATGTGGCAAAAACTACAGCGATTGATGGGCCGTGTTCAGAATGGAGCTCTCGCTGTAGCGTTGGCCCCATGTTTTTGTAAAACTTGCAAGAGCTACAAGGATGAAGCGCTGGTGGATTCGACATGGGGTTCTCGCATGGTCGCCACGCCCGTCCCAAACTGCAGCTACAAGGATGGAGGGTTGCTTCTTTTCAATATGATGATCTCGCCTTCTCGCCGCGCGAATTCTCATCTACCATGTTTCTCACAATCACAATGGTCGGGGTCGGCTTCATTTCACACTGGGGCTCTTGCGAACGTGACCAACTGCAACAGCTGCACGGGTGGACGGCGTATTTGTTTTTCAACATGTGGCTTTCGCTTGCGACTTGCCCGAACAGTATCAGCAGACATGTAAGCTGGTGTAATCACTGCACAGACCGAAGCCGCACTTTTCAAAACGGTCATATTGCTGGACACCTCGTTACATTGCATGGTTATACCCTTTCGCGTTCATTACTGCCATGCTCTCTAGAAACATGACATTCCACTCTGTTTCAAAATGGGGCTCTCGCCTGTAAAGCAAGCCGACAGGGTGCGGATGTTTCCTGGAGGAGCTTTTTTGTAGTGGAGAGGAACTTTTTTGTCAACTTTTGAGGAGGGGGCTTGGGACGAGAGGGAGGGTCTTGGGCTTCCTGTAGTCCTTCCTCCTCCTCTTCCTCATCATCATCACCATCGTCTTCATCATTATCGTAATACTTTCATCATTAAAGACTTCGCCTTGCTTCTGGTGTTCTTTTTACCCTCCTCCTTCTCCTCCTTCTCCTGCTCGCCCATCATCATCATCACCATCATCATCGTCGTCGTCGTCATCTCCACAACCATGGACCATCATCATGCCTCCTCTGTTCTCAGAGTCCTATGGGAGGGGGAGGGAGGAGAGAGACGGAGAGAGGGGCGGATCGGGGAGAGAAGCAGTGGAAGGAGGATATTCTTTAGGAGGGATAAGAGGATGCTATTTACTTGAGCTCGGTCTAGGGGTCGCTGTGGAGTTAAGGGTGGCTCCAGCTTGTCCCAGGGAGCTCTGGGGAGGACAATTGATGACGACGCGGATGA